CTCTGCCCCATGGTAGACTGTTTCTTCCTCTATCAGCATTATTTTGTACACCGTAGTTTTTGTATGTTTGAGGACCCTTGAGATTTCCCCATTCATATCAGGATGTCAAAAGTTGTAGTCCTTGGGGGCTGGAGAGATGGCTCAGAGGTTAAGAGCACTGACTGCTCTTCCAGAGGTCCTGAGTTCAATTCCCAGCACCCACATGGTGCCTCACAACTATCTGTAATGAGATCTGGCGCTCTCCTCTGTGTACATAATAAATAAAGCAATCTTTAAAAAAAAAGTTGTAGTCCTAGTTCAGCTCATATTTAGGAAGTCATGTTTATCAGACTTTCTCTGTCTTTATGGGTAATGTATGGCATTCCTAAGAGACATAATCTCAAAGCAAACTCCCTGGTCCTCAGGCTCTTACATACTTTGTATTCCATCTTCCTCAGTGAAATCTGAAACTTAGAAGTGGCAATAGTATTTATTGTAAATGTATCAGGTGGAACTGGGATCCAAAATTCTTCATTTTGATTGGCTGTGGCTTTTGATCATTGTATGCATCTATTTCAATATGACGTGTCCTTAAAGAGATGTGATGAATAGACTTAGCTGTATGTATATGAACAATTATTTAGAATGTTTAGGGGCTACACTGCCTTTGTGAAGAGGCAGTTACAGTTTCTCCTCTGAGATCCAAAACTTCACTAGCTCTTGGTAGTTCATTTAGTTTCTATAACCTGGCATAATTTTCCTTTTGACCAACAGGAATTCTGCTCAATTACAACTAACAACTGCATTTGTGAACCCTTCTAGCCTAATATATAGACATAAGAGCAAAGAAGTTACCACAACAAGGTTAAAACTCACAGGAGTAAAGGTCTAACAATTTTATATAATTTTAATTTTATTTAATGATGTGGAAATGGAAACATTTTACTTAATGTATTGTATGTATTTTTAGGAACTGGTGATGAATTCTGGAGAAATTTGAAATAATAAAGTTGCATGTTGTAACCTATTCATGACTTTAGATGAAGAATACATACCAATTCATAGAAGAGCAATGGATAGAAAGAAGCATTCAGACAAATTATGTGTAACTATCTAGATTTAAAGAGAAAGTGGGAGTCTTCATCAAGATTTAAAACAGTTGGAATGTGACATATGTCCTCAGAGGAGAAATAAGGAAGGGGTCCTCCACATTATTAGACCTAGTTACTTGTTCTGAGTGTCTGACATTTGACATTAGGTAATATAATACCGACTAAGTCTACATTATAACTTAGCGTGCAATATATTATGCAATGACTGATGAAGTATTATATTCACAAAAGCTTACATCCACATTTTGAAATCCTGTATTCTTCAATATAATCACTCAAACTCAAATGGAGCATGCTAATTTACTAAAGGGTTTTGAGGTCTTAAGAAACAGATTGATGCCCTTGTACAAATCTGATATATTGAAAGTTGAATATAAAATAAAACTATAATCTAAATATTTTATCACAGAGATTGGAAGACATGATAACAATTTATTAGAATCCACTTTCAAAATTTAAAACATGATTAACACAACTGGATAAGAGAATATGCATGAAGCTCTTAAATTGTTTCCTTTTATTTTATTTTACAATACCATTCAGTTCTACACATCACCCATGGATTCCCTTGTTCTCCCCCCTCCTGCCCCCTCCCCTTCCCCTCAGCCCACACCCCATTCCCACCTCCTCCAGGACAACGCCTCCCTTGAGGACTCAGATCGACCTGGTAGACTCAGTCCAGGCGGGTCCAGTCCCCTCTTCCCAGACTGAGCCAAGCGCCCCTGAATAAGCCCCAGGTTTCAAACAGCCAACTCATGCAATGAGCACAGGACCTGGTCCCACTGCTTGGATGCCTCAAAAACAGATCAAGCCAATTGATTGTCTCACCCATTCAGAGGGCTTGATCCAGTTGCAGGCCCCTCAACCACTGGTTCATAGTTCATGTGTTTCCATTCGTTTGACTATTTTTCCCTGTGTTATATCCAACCTTGGTTTCAACAATTCTCGCTCATATAAACCCTCCTCTTTCTCACTAATTAGACTCCCTGAACTCCTCGTGGATCTCTGCATCCAGATTCATCAGTCCTGGGATGGGGTTTCTGGCAAGACTATTAGGGTGTTTGGCCATCCTATGACCAAAGTAGGTCAGTTCCAGCTGTCTCTTGACCTTTGCCAGCAGTCTCTTGTGGGGGTATATTTGTGGATTTCTATGGGACTCTCTAGCACTTTGTTTCTTCCTTTCCTCATGTGGTCTTCATTTACCATGGTCTCCAATTCCTTGTTCTCTCTCTCTGTTCTTGATCCAGCTGGGATCTCCTGCACCCACAGGCTCTCTTTCCCTCCACCCTTGCCCTTCATTACTCCCACTCATGTCCAGGTTGTTCATGTAGATCTCAGCCATTTCTCCGTCATTGGGCAATCCTCGTGTCTTTCTTGGGGTCCTGTTCTTCAGGTAGCCTTCCTGGTGATGTAAGTAGCAAGCCGGTCATCCTTGTTCCACATCTAGTATCCTCCTATGAGTGAGTACATACCATATTTGTCTTTCTGAGTCTGGGTTACCTCACTCAGGATGATATTTTCTAGATCCATTCATTTGCCTTCAAATCTCATGATGTCATTGTTTTTCTCTGCTGAGTAGTATTCCATTGTGTATACGTGCCACAAATTATTTATCCATTTTTCAGTTGAAGGGCATCTAGGTTGTTTCCAGGTTTTGGCTATTACAAACAATGCTGATATGAACATAGCTGAGCAAGTGCTCTTATGGTATGATTGAGC